CCGCGCCGAGCTCAGGAGTAGCCAAGGAGGCAGCGTACCGCCTGCGGTGCCTCCTCGGGGGCCCCCTGGGGTGTCGCTGAGCCTCGGGTCCGGGCTGCCCACGGGGCCCTGCCAGTCTCGGGGGCCGGGGTCGCTGCTGCAGACCTTCTTCTTAAAACTGCCATCTGAAACCCAGGTCAGCGGTGTGAGATGCTGCGAGCCCCGTGGGGCCGGAGGCCTTGCTCCCCACCCCGGCCCAGCCCAGGTAGGAGTTTATAGGAGATCGAGGGGTAGCGGCAACAGGGACACTGAGCAGCAGACGCCCGGGCCTTTGTCAAGGACGCTGAGTGGAGGTGACATTCCACGAATTTGCCCGCCCTCCTGCTGCTGCCAACCTTCCACGGGTCCCCAAAGCCCCAACGCCGATCAGGGGCGGCCCCACTCACCCCTGCCCAGGCTGCTCGTGCTGTCGTGGCCTCCAGAGGTCTCCACTCTCCAGGGTGGGGCCGCGGAGCTGCCCACCTCTTCTGTCTGGCCGTTGGCGCTGCCCAGCCGCCTGCAGATCAGGCTCTGGATGTCCTCGACTGCGAAAGGGGACAGAGGGGAGCTGAGTGACCCAGTGGACCTGCTGTGAGCCTCAGAGGGCGGTGCCGGGACCCAGGGCCATGGCCGTGCCAGGTGCCAGTCACCCCTCACAGTCTCCTGGTGTGGCTTCGGCCCCCCTGACTGCTGTCTCCCCGCACATTTACTGCACCCAGGGCCCAGCAACCCCGGCTGTGGGAGAGGCTGAGCACGTGCGGATGGGGTGCTCCGGGCCTTTGGCAGCTGCGGGGAAGCTCCCTGGGGCGCCATGGGGACCCTGGCTGCTTCGGGAAGCCAGCTGCTTACAGGCCAGCGCCCTCCTGTGGCTGTGGGCTCCGGGAGCCCCTGAAATGACCCACCAAACGTGTGTGTGCACGCTCTTCTGGGGGTAGTAGCATCAGGGACCCACTATTCAGACAGAAGAGAAACCATCTCAGTAAGTGAGACCCCGGGCCCAGCACGTGGCAGGCACTTGGAGTGCTGGCTGAGTGATGTGAAAGGACCTTTAAGTCTGCAGTGACCGTGTACAAGGACCTTCCGCTTGAGCAGAACAGAGCCAGAGAGAAGCGCGCTGGACAGGGCGGCGTGTGGGCCACACTGGGCCGTGTGTCCGGCCTGGGGCGCCCCGAGGAGCCCACCAGGCGGGACAGGAGCGCGGGGGCTGGCGGGCCGACTTACTCTGGCTCATGGCTGACTTGAGAATCTTCTCTCCATTCAGGTTCTCAGGGGGGTCCCCTCCCCGGAAGAGGAGCCGCGACGGGGTGAGGTCTTCCAGGCCGCTCATCTCGGCCATCTCCAGGTAGATCTGCTGCTTCTCGCCGAGGCTCTGGGCAATCTGCTGGTCTTTCGCGTTCAGTCGCTCTGCAAAGTGACGGCCGAGGTGGTGGTCGGCCTTCTCTGGGATGCGTTCCCCCAGAGCCGGCGTAAGGATGCCTCGCAGGTCAGGGCTGGCCTCTGGGGACCCCGCTGACCCACGCCGCGTCCCGAGGTGGACCACTCCCTTAGTCCAATGTTCCCAGGAGGCAGGTGAGGGTGTGGCCCTGTCTGCTCACAGTTTCCCTTAATTATAAAAATCAAACGTGGTAGGGGGGTGGGGGAGGACAATGACAGGCTGATTTTTATTAGTCTGGGACAAATTGAGAGCCTTGTAAGACTTACTTTTCCAATCTTGAAAGTCTTCTTTCTCACAAGTCTCTGGGTTTTGCACCTTATTTTTTCCCCCACTGCCATGACTGTGACTTGTGTTACTAGACTTTGTCACAAATCCCCAGTTCCCATGATGGCAGTATATGTACACCACGTCCAGCTTAACGACTGCACTCTCTTGCTGCTTCTAATCGTTCTCCAGTTGCTTTGACTGGATTTTCTAGGCGAATAATCATGTCACATGCAAAACATAATTCTGCCATCCCCCTTCCCGATCACGGTGTCTTACATCCCATTATTACTCTGGCTGGAACTTCCAGGATGAAGACAATAAAGGTGGGGCGGGGGGGCCTGCCTCGCTCCTGATTTTGGTGGGAGTGTCCCTGACATTCCATTGTGACAGATGAGACTGGCTTTTAATCCAAGATGGGAAGGGATAGCTCAATAAAGAGAACATCTCTTTCTAATTCACTAAGAATCTTGTCAAGAATGGATGATGAAGAGATATGACAGCATGACTCTGTGGCATCCATGGAGATGCTGTCTATGCAGGGCACATAATTTTATTACCATCCAGCAGAAATAAAAGAGTTAGAATGGAAGGAAACAAATGCTATGTTAGCATTATACTTTCAAGGGTCTGTGGGGTTCTCCCCGCTTTCTTTTGAATATTTTTATTCCTTAAACTTGCCTCCTGCCTCACAAAGAGAAATAAAACACATGCTACCTACTTTTATGTATGTATTGCTTAAATGTTACCTAACTTAAAAATAAATATCACACTGAGTGGGAGGGAAGAGGGAAGCTGACTGAGACCACGAAGTGCTGAGAATTATTCTTGACAACGACCTCGCTGAAGTCTCACAGGTATCTGTTAAAACTGGGGAGGAGAATGGATAAGCATGACGTGGTCCATCCACACACTGGAATATTACACAGCTTTAAAAAGGAAGGAGATCCTGACACCCGCTACAACATCATGCTCAGTGAAATAAGCCAGTCACAAAAGGACAAACGAGCCCATTTATACACAATATCTGTCAGAGGTAAATTCACGGACAGACTATGGAACAGAGCTTCCCAGGGGCTGGGGGAGGAGGCCGCAGGAGTGACTGCTAATAGGGATGGGGTTTCATTGGGGGTGATGCAAAAGGCCTAAAACTGATTGTGGTGATGGTTGTGCAACCTTGTGATATACACTAGAGCCACGGCACGGCACACCTTAACGGGGTGACCTGTATGGTATGTGAACTGTATCTCCATAATGTAGTTGGAAAAAAAAAATTGAAGTGGAAGAGGAAGCTGGTGTCGCTCGTCACAAAGCCGGGATGGGCTGGTTCTGCTCGGCTCCAGAAGGAGCCAGGGGGGTTCCAGGCTATTACTGGGCCCTGTGGGGTCTGATGCATGTGACCTGGGACACTCATGCCGAGTGTGCCCCTGGGTGAAGACGGAGGGAGGGGCAGTGTGTGTGTCGGGAAGGAGCTCAGAAACCCTAGTGCCCCACTCTCCCTTACCCACATGCTCCCCGGAAGATCACTGCCTCACGGGACAGCCCACAGGGCTGCAGGACACCGACAGACCACAGCCAAAGTCCTGGTCACTTGGGTGGTGATTTGCTCTGTGGCCAGTCCCGATGAGACAGAACAGAAACGCCACAGCTGGGCCCTGTCACCACGCCAGGGACACGTCATGGGCTTAGAGGTCAGATGGACCACCCCGACCCTTACCTTGGAAGTCCCTCAGCCTCATGGCGCGGGCCTCGACCATCTTCCGCTCCTCTTCGGCCTCGCTGAAGGGCCCCTCCTCCTCGTCCGGACAGCTGCAGGGAGAGAGGACAGGTAGGCAAGAGCGTCCCACGGACAGGCTGCCTCTGAAATGGGCACTGAGACATTCATCATCTGTGGAACCGGCTGCAAAGAACATCTCTGATGCGGTGAGAGATTTAGCTTGTTAATGGTGCGGGAGAGAAACATGGCTGTCGGCGTTCACCCAGTCTCCAAGTGTCAGGCGTCACCGGCCACAGCTTCTACAGGCTTGGCCGTAACTTGGAGAGGGGAGACTCGGGGCAGTTCATTCCCTGGGGACCTCCCGGGTACGGGAGGCTGCAAACCCAGCAGAGCTGGAGTTGAGCATCCAGTGAGCTCTGAGCAGACTAAGGCTTCGGGAAGTTTCTAGCATAAACAGAGGGAGCAGCAGGCTGGCTGGACGTCTGTCAGCGGGCCGGGAGTCAGGCATCACAGAGGCACAGGGCCGGGGTCCAGAGGGGTCCTGGCCCGGCAAGGAAGGCCCAGCCCACCAGAAGGTTGGCACTGCCGGCCCACGTCCCCAGGCCAGGGACATAGGGCCTTTTTAGCCGTTGTCAGAAGGAGCCAGAATGGCACCACCTATCCCTTTCAGACAAGGGGACGGGCAGAGCACTGAGGGGGTGGGGGGGGAAGCAGAGGGGTCTCCTGGCTGCCTGCGGCCCCTTGCACCCTCACAGGTGCTCCAAGGGCACAGCTGACGAGCCAGCAGTCAAGGCCAAGGGAAAAGCTGGCAGTGGAGGGAGGCACATGCGGGCCCCTCACCTCTCCACGGCCCTTCGGATGTAGCCCATCCAGGTGTTCCTCTCCTCCTTGGAGCCGGTGTGAATCTCGTACATCTCGGGCCCTTGCTGGGACACGCTGATCAGGAACATGGCTTTCTCCTCATTGGCCACTTCCCTCACGATGAGCTTCTGCAGCGAGATGACGGGGCGCTTCGAGTCCTGCAGGGGCGGGGCGGGGTGCAGGGGGGGTCACCTTGTGCCAGCTGTGCCCCCACAGCCATGGGGCTGCGAGTTGGAGGAGGGGACTAAGCTGGGGGCTGTGCACCCCGCTTATCCTTGGACGATTCAAAGCAGAAACATTTTGCCGTCTGGGGAAAAGACACTATTGCAATGATTGCCTCATACCCCTTGGACGTGCCTGTTTAATGTGCTTAAAAAATGTTTTATAATCAGTAACGCACGCACACTGTGCAACACTCAGAAGATATATGGGTGTGTAGTCTGTGATGATAAATAAACCCTCTTCCCAACCCTGTGCCCCAAACACCCGCAGCCAACCACCAGCCCTCCCAACCTGCGGTCTGTTCCACAGGGGAATGCTCTGATAGGCCAGTAAAATGTGCGCTTTCAACTGGCTGATATGGGCTGACTTGTGTCTGCCCCCCTCCATTCACATACCGAGGTTTTAACCTCAGAACACGGTGCCATCCGGGGACAGGGCCTTAGAGAGGTAATTAAGTTAAAATGAAGTCATTAGGGTGGCCCTAGTCCAACTGACTGGTGTCCTCATGAGAAGAGGTGACTAGGCCACAGACACACACAGAGGGACGACCAGGTGAGGAAGCGGGGAGGGGGACTCCGTGGATCAGCGGTCACGTCGCCCCCGTGAGAGTGAACAGACAACACACACGGGGTGTGCGGAGTTCCGGAGTGACAGCCAGCTGGCAAGACAGCTTGACCGAGCTCGTGGGAACTCCTCGAGAAGCTAGTGGGCACTTCTGGAAAAAGGTACAAGATTCTAGAGTTTAGTGACAAAGGCACCTCCCTCTCTGGGTAAACCTGGAGGCAAACAGGTCCCCTGAGCTCCTCCCTGGGGGGCAGTGCCTGACACACACCCCACCCTGCAGCGGGGTCTGAAGGACCGGGTGGCGGTGGCTCCAGGCGAGCAGGCAGGACAGATGGAACCCAGCCCGACTCCAAGTCGGCCGCCCTCAAGGAGCTCGTGGCCGGCCTGGCCCCTGTGATGAGGGTGCTCGGGGACCAGCGTGCTGCGGACTCACAGGGCCGTGGCTGCCTGAGTTTGTGTGACAAACAAGATCCCTGGGGAGGAGGGACGGGCTCTCCCGGAAGGGATGCGGGCCTGTGAGAGACAGGAGGCTCTCCCCCAGCACTTGGGAGGGGAAGAGCCACGGAGACGCAGAGCCAGGCGGAACTGGACAGGACGGTGGCCCAGAGCCTGGCAGCCTCCGCAGGGTGCTAGACAGGACCCCCTCTCGGCTAACCCTGCTCCTGCCTTGCTGCGACCTCCGGGCCGTGGGGGCCGGGTGCTTGCGGCTGTGCTTTCCCAGCCACCCCGCCCTCCAGGCAGCCGCCGCCCGCGGGCAGCCTTCTGTGTGGAGAGGCAGGACACGTACCACAGAAGCAAAGACGTATTTTTGATCCTTTTCTTGTAGCAGTAAGAGCACGTCAGTCAGCAGGACAGCAAGGACGTCTATGGGGAAAACACGGAAGGAAACGGCTCACACGGCCCCGCGGCCCCGCGGGTCCCCGCCAGGCGGACTGG